ACCACAATTATTCTGACTTCATTCCAAAGCTGTAAACCTTGTAATAAAACCGTTGTTTCTCCATTGGCTATTCTGTGCACCATGCAATCTCATGGAAGCACATTCAACACACACACCAGGCTGACACACTTTAAATCCCAGAGGATGTGTTTCTGTTTCTCTGAGCCTCGACTCTCCCAGGAGGCAGCAGACACTCCTGGGACTCTACGATAAAACACACGCGTCACTCTTCTCCGCTGATTCTCCGGCTATGGAAGGAGACTTTAGGATGTTTTTTGTTTAAAATATTCCGCCACTGCTGAAGGCCCCACATGTCAAAACACTCACTCAACACCTTAAGAAGCACACTGCTGTGGCTTCTATAAATAAAAGCGTACTGACACCTCACCTCTGGGTACCTGAGCTCTGGGTCCATTATGTAGACGTCTCTCCAGTCAAAGCACCGAAATGTGAAGCATCACACTCAGCCTCAAAAGTGGCAATATTGTCCAAAAACAAAAGGAAATGCATTCCTGCAAACCGACAACAAGCCAGTAAAAGATAGCCTCCCCTCCTGCTCTTGCCAGCAGCTCTTTTCTGTCTGGCTTTTCCCTTCAGAGTAAACAGACGTCTGACACACATGCACACACTCACAAAACCCCTCTGTTCTGATTTTACCACTTAAAAAATGGTGTCATTAATATAAGTAAAAAAAATCAGCCAACCCAGTTTCACTTGGCGTCGTTACTCTGGTAATCTAATTCTGGGTCAGGGGGAATTTGAAGCTCATTGAACTGAATTCATCCGGTTTCTGTGTTGAAAGGACAATCGGGGTTAAAGTGGGTTTAAAAAAGGATTAGAGTTTCTATAAATCTAATATTTTATTGAATGTGTTTGCCCAAAAAAAAAACAGTTGTATAATCACCTCTTTGTTGTTTGGAATAGGTAAAAACAACCAACAACAAAATGTAAAATTCCTTTAAGGTAACTCCGTTAGCTTTCAGGTCCAATTAAGGTTTGAGGGTGGGGATTAAAAATGACTTTCTCACAGTAAGAGCTCATCACAGTCACTCTTTTCTTACCTCACATATTACCACCTGGAGGCGAGCCATGGATCACAGAGTTCATTACTGATTAAGAGGAAAGATTTTATTAGTCAGAGGCTTTATGAAGCTGCTCAGCCCTCCCTTATCTCTGTCTCAGTGCTTTTTATTCAGCTCCATACTGGACGACTGTGACTGGCAACCATTAACTGAACATCTGCTTGTTCATTCTCTGCCTTCACATCTTTACTGACGAATACTGACTGTAAAGGAAAACCCAGAAACGTCATTTGAAGTGATTTTTGAGTGTAAATCTAATTATCGTACCATTTATGTTGTTGTTACACTGGCAAAATGATTTATTGTCTGAAGCATGTCATGTGTTTAGGGTCATGTTTTTATGGTTCAGTCCAGGTTCATCCTTCGGTAGATAACAAAAGCAACCCTGACCTTGAGTACTATCTAAGAGTGTCGCAGCTGTTTCTGAACGCAGAGAAACACAGAAGTGTTCTTCTTGTGCCGTTATGTGAGAGCCTCTGCTGCTGCCTTCACAGCAGGGACCTTGGTTTGGGAAATTGTATTTCAAAGCAGTCTAACCTGAGATGATTCTTGTTGGTTTGAAATAAAAACACATCAAAACTAAGAACCAGCTGATGCATTTAAAATGCCTAAATGCTGCACGCTTAAAGCACCAGTAATATTAATCCAAAAACATCGTGTATATAACAGTACAACACTCACAGGGACCATTCTTCTGCAGAATGAGTAGTTTTTCCTTTGATAGTTGAAATTTTGAATAATGTAATACTTGATGCAGGACTTTTACTTGTAGTGGAGTATTTTCACAGTGTGGTACTAGTACTTTTACTGAAGTAAAGCATCTGAATACTTCTTCCAACACTGTCATGTGCAAGTCAGGAACTTGGCAGCAAGACTTCTCTTCTCACACACTGCCTGGCTTTCACACCATAACAGTGTAGGATGTGCAAATGCAACCAGCTCAAGTCTGCATTTAGGATTTCTACACAACAAATCTTTTAAAGTGGCACGACTCATTGAAGTATTCAATATATGGAATATTATAATATAATTTAGGCGTTACTGAGTGAGTGCTAAGGGGTTAAATTAGCAAATGATGCAGATGATTGCTCAAAGGCTAACATGCTAATAGTCCTTTACTCCGCAGTAACAGATGACAGTGATGACACAGGGCTAATGTTAATATTCAGTGAATTTTTGACTGCGATCAGGGACTGAACAGGCTGTTATGAAGGCAATCTGTTCAATTTCACAGGTTTTAGGGTCGAGAGTTCAGTTATTGCTTTGAAATAAAAAGACGTCAAAAATAAGAACCAGCGGATGCATTTAATACTGAATAAAGGATTTAATGCAGTAGGTCGAAAATGACATATGTGTGTGTTTTGGTTTTTATGTGAATAGTAAGTACATTTACTCAAGTAATGTATTCAATTACAGTTTAAGGTACTCGTGTTTCTATTTTATAATACGTTGGACCTCTACTCCATTACATCCTTCCACCTGACTAACATTTCCCAGGACTTGGATTATAAAAAGATTGATAACTGATCGTTCAGGAGTATGTTCACTCCACTTCATTATGAACAGATGTGATGTTATGAACAGATTTGAAGAGCACACATTCCTCCTTCCATAAGCCTCGACAGTAGTGCAGACTATAGTCTTTTGTAAGACTGCTCTCTAGTGACAAAAAAAGATATTGCAGTATATATATATATATTTGCGGTATTACAAACTATAGTGACTGTGGTGACATTGACGGAAACAACATGTCGTTTTCCCCCTATGTATACCAGATTTTCCTTTGTCAATGTTGTGCTACTGACTCACAAAAGGCATCCTTTAAGATGTCACCAGATCACCAGCATGTAAACACTGTAGCTCTAGAGATGAAGGAAGAAAAATAGAAACCCCTTTTTATTGTCATATACCGTACATATACACATACACGAAATTTGACCTCTGCATTTGACCCCTCCCTGGAAGAAGTGTCTCTTAAGAGAAACTCTGGAAACTCTGTTTTCTGCAAGAATTTAAAGCACGTGATGAGTTATCGATACACAAATGGTCCTTTTGTGGGTGAAGTATTCAGTGAAGCACTGTTTCAGAGAAACAAGGTGTTGGCAATGCATATCTAGTGCCTCTATTTGAATGTCAATCAGTTTATGTTTGCTGTTTCTGCTTTGGCGATGACTATGTTTAGATTTCACGCCTCCAGAGCACCTTTTGATTTGTGTTGAGATGGAGATGATTGACGTGCTGTGAATGCTGTTTGGTGGCTGTTTTATGGAGGGTCACTGCAGCGTTCACAGGACGGGAAAAAGCTCGGCTCGCTCTTTAACCCCAGCAGGTCCCTGTGTGGGCGGACAGCCTAACACAACCCAAACGGACACTTTTATATTGCTTTTAAATGCTTTTCTTTCACTTTCTTTTACTTTATTCCTCATCAGTGATGTTTCCCAGTATTAAGTGTCTTGAAGCATGTCTGGAGTGGATATGTAATGTTAAAAAATGTGTTTTACACCCTGCAGGAATACCAAATGAGGGGAAATCCAGCCCTAATCAGACTTATATTGCCACTTTGTGTCGCTTGATTCAAATCGCTGAACAAATTGGAGATGTGGTGGTGATTCAAAGGTCTTAGACTATAGGCTGATCCTGAATACTTGAAATGGTCTGAAAGGGGTCATGTTAGCAGATTGAGCCATGAAAATACTGAAAATACAATATGAAGATGTCTCCATCAGACAACAGCAGCCTTGTGGTGGGTAAATTCTCCAATACAGCTAATGTATCTCAAGAGGCAGAAGAAGCAGCTGAAACTAGACGGTGGTTTACTGAGCTGTGATTTACGACACAATTAAAAGCACTCAGGCTAAATAATGCACATGAAGAGCATCAAAGCACCCCTGTTCATTTTACAGCATGTATTGCTGTTTTTGCTGATTTTTAATGCCCTTTCAGTTCTTCAAAAGGCAATGAATGAAATCGAAAAGTGCCCCAAAGTGTAGTGTTTTTTCTTTGCATAAATGAACCTCCTTCCTGCCAGATTATTTCCATGCTGAAGCACAGGATTGTACAGGATCACACTTTGGCTCGTCGTCTTTCTGTCTCGCAGCTTTGCTGCAGGAACTGTGAGCGATAACGAAGCTCTTGAACGTCTGAGCCTTCATTCTGCTCGCAGCTGTCACTGCGTCTCTGCATTTTACTGTTAATATCGTCCACAAAGCCAGAGCTCACCAACACACGACCGCACTTTGATCTGGTTGATGTGTAGATGATCCAGTTTGACAGAGTGGCTTTATCTTTGGCGAATAAAGACACAAATCAATGTTTTGTATTGGAAAACATTCATGTTGTTCTTAATTGTTATGTCATCGGTCAGTTTTCCAGTGGAATAATAAATAAAAGATAAATATATTACTGTGAGATTATCTCTGCCAGGCACAAACCTGGAGATTACGTCTGACTTCTCGTGGTTTCAGTGATTCAAACTTTTGAAAAACACATTTTATTGACTGTTTTAATAGTGTCATCGACTCCTCACTCCCGTCGCCTGTCGAGGCCTCAAGTGATCAACAACTGCTTCAGTCTGCAGAAGGAGAAGTAAGATTTAAGAAGTAAGAGTTTTAGATACATTTTGATCAAATCTGTCAGCTGTTCTGTGAAGGCGTCTGCATGTATAATAAAGCCTTCTTTGATAAAGGCATACAAACGTGACATAACTTTCATCTAAAACATATACAGCTTTTGAAGAAAGTAATATTACAATTTGAAATATGATGTATAATCATGGATGGAACAACTGATTTAAAGCTTGGTCGAAAACACAAAGAATAAAGTCAAAATGTTGGCAACTGTTACATATGAATCTGTTTGTGGCGCCGTGATTATAAAAAGTGTGATAAAGGAAGTGCAACATGAACAAATCCATCCTACCTTGGAATCCTTGATTGGCTGACACTCAATCTGATGAGAGACGGACGCAGTTTGGTTCATCTTTGTGTCTCAGTTTCACTGAAATCCTCCTTTAATCTGATCAAATAAAATCCCTAAAGCTGCGTAAAGTTTTCCTCCGACTGACCAAAGCAGAAAGTGATGCTGATGATGCTGAAGGCTGCAGAGCTGCTCTTCCTCGTTGTTATTGAAGCTTCGAGGAGATGCATTTAAATCATCTTGTTCTTCTTCCTTTGTCTCTCTCTCTGGCAATAAATGCTCACTCCTCTTCCCTCTCTTCTTCTTCTTCTTCTTCTTCTTCTTCTTCTTCTTCCCCACTAAAGCGATAGTGTGCTGCTTCATATGCAGCTGACAGACTGTTCATACACCAGGATGTTTGCCAGTGCCTCCCACATACCAAGACGCTTCTTCATCAGCATGCAAATGCGCTCGAGGCAAAGACATTTGCAGGCGTTCGGTTTGAGCCTTTTTACATCTGAAGCTGACGTTCTGGTTGAAAAGCGTCTCACAGAAGAAGGTTTAGTGTTCGGATGAAAGATGTTTTGACAGGATGTTCACACTGATGTTGAGCTCAAACTGGAGGAACCTGCTGCTGTTTGTTTCTTTAAAAAAAAGCATCAAGTGCAGAATTCACTTTAAGATAAAGGTTAAAGATGTATTCAAAATGTTTCTTATGTGAGAGTACAGAAGTAGTGGCATCAAAATATACGTAAAGTACCAAAATTAAAAGTGCTAATTACGCATATCGGTCCATTTCAGAATGATATATATTATATTGTCGGATTATAATTGATGCATGAATGTATATATCACTTTAATGTTGCAGCTGGTAAACGTGGAGCTCAGTTTAATTATTTTGTGTACTGCTAGCTTGTGAATTTACCCCCAGGGATCAATAAAGTCTTATCTTAACCTCTAATAATACATTACAATTTATCTGTTGACTGTATTTTGCATTATTAATCTAAATCTGCAAGTTAAATAAATGCAGTGGAGACGTATAAAGCAGCAGAAAATGGAAATTTAACAATGTTCAAATGACTTAACATGTGGACTTAATTTTGAATGCTATCATTGATTTAGCAAGAATAAATGTGTTGTGACTATGCTTCATGCATGCATGTTAAGTCTTCAGCCCTTTTCCCAGAATCATAGTTATCTGTTACAGTAAAATGTTGTCCCCATTAAAAATGCATGGCCATGATTTATATTTGATGAGCTGGCTATGTTTTCCATGCCACTAATCATATTTATTGTGCAGTGTGATTGCTTTTATTCAGCACTTTTAACATTAGAGACTCTTTCTATCGGATCTCCAACATTTTATTTATTGATTTGTATCCAGCTGATTCATTACTCTTTTTATATATATTTTTTTTTTTACCAGATTTAAAAATACAAAACGTTATTGTTCTCATACTGTCTCTAAGCTCTGTTTTAAAGGATGGTGTTGCTAGGCAACAGGTCGATTCCATGTTTACTTCCCGTCAGCTGACGTCCTTCATGAACACTGTGACAGGAAATGAACAAACTTGCCCCAAAATGTTGTGTTTGCTCTCACGTACAGTTGTGTTTCTGCTTTAAAAAGTGATTATTCAATTTGTTTATTATATGTTGTGTGTTCGTCTGACATATTTATCTACATACGTTCCACTAATCAGGATATTTCAGATTTGTGCATTTATCATGAGTTATGTTTTCTTCACCCAAGTATAAAAGATAGTTCATTTCATACCGCGGTGATTTTCAGTACATAATGAAATGCAACTAATCACAGTGGAGCGTCTGTGATTAGAGCGACTGTGCAGGAAGCAGAGTGTGAGTGAGAGTAATGAGGCTACAGGCCACTGGGGAGAGTTTACACTTAAATGAATCCTTGTTAGCTAATGTACACACTTTGCGCAATAAATGCCAAGACATACATAATCTTTTTCCTGCAATCACGAATACACTGTAAAAGTGTCTTTATCAAGACATTTTTTAACTCAAAGTTAGAATTTTCTAGACCAATATTTATAAACAGGATCGTCACACAGCACTGTATGCAGAATAATTCACTGTACATCTTTAGCTCTCTGTGCCTGGCAGACATAACGATTTAAAGATGTAACCTTTGAAAGATGATGCTGGGTGTGGACGGCCGTCAGAGAGTCAGATGGACCAATAAAAGAAGAAGGCATTAAAGCAAACGAGGGGGGAGAGTGCTCTATGTCTCCATGTCCATATGCATCAGGTTCTAAGTGGATCCATATCCTGAAGGAGATCTCTGTTGTTTGATCTAACACTGAAGGTTAACCAAATACAACACAATGATAAGATGATGAGCAGGAACAGATTTTATCATTAGAAAAAGTCCTACATGAGTATTAGCATCAACATATACTTAGAGTACTAAAAGTAAGAGTACTAACATGCAGAATGGCCCATTTCATAATAATATATATTATATCACTGCACTATTTACTGCAGCTTAAGCATAAATAAAATATCATAATTTATTAGTTGATTTAGGAGGCAAACAACAGAAAAGATGATGCTTTGTTACTAATGAATAAAATGCAACGTAGACAGATTTATTTTTCAAAATATTTACAATAATAATTTGACCTTTGTGTTTTTAGTTTTTATCTCAAGTATTAAGATGAGTTCATGCTCCATTGCAGGTTTTCCTCTTTCGAAAAGTCCGTCATGATCTCCCTGAGCCTCGAGGCCCCTGTAACGAGTCCCTAAGTAGTGTCTCATTTTCTCTGGGCTCCTGGTTCTCGGGTTCCCAGCCACGTGGTGGAGGTAGCTGCGGTGGTCGCACTGGTTCTCCGGCACGTTCAGAGTCAGCGAGGTCTTCCTCTCCGTCTATCCGATCCGAAAGATGCCTCTTGGGAGCAGGAACTGGCGCCTTCCTGCCTCTGAAGCTTGAACCCTCCAGACCTCCAGGACCCCTCATGTCCAAAGCATCCACAGGAGGTGGTGAGTGTGGTTGGGAGGAAGCGGCTGGCTGCTCCCCTGCATTTCCAGTCTCCTTGATGGTGTTCAACCTCCTCATGGGGATGAGAGAGCGGGACGAGGAGCGCGGCGTCAGGGCTGAGGGATGGCCCCCGTCTTCAAGTCCACCTAACACAAATATGTTATCATTGTTTCACTTAGTTTTCTTTTGAACCAGGTCATTTCAACAAGTCCTCACCATGACTTTGTCTTCTGAGGGGGAAGGCCATCTCCAGATCCCCCCCAGGTTGGAGAGAGTAGTACTTCTGAGACCTGGGGATGTTTTGTGAAGGCTGGAAGTGGAGGAAGAGTGAAGGTCAGGCAGGTGGGGGTGAAAGTAACGTATACTTAATGTTCTCTAAAACAGGAACCCACCTGCTCACGGAAACTTTCAGCACGGAGGCTGCGTCTGATGCTCGCGTGGCGGCGGATCAGAATCTCCTTGGTTCGGCTGTCGTCAGGCAGATTGTATTTGTTGGTGTAAGACATCGTCTGGAAATCATGTATAGCATTGTTATTAAAAACTCATCAATGAGCCTGAATGGTAATGGTAAAATGGTGTTAAATGGTATTAAAAAGCACACAGAGTTTATATAATTGACCACATTCCCTCTTCAGAAAGGTTTCTCTGCAGGTGGTTGTTACCTTCTGTCGGATCTTGTACATGTTCTTTGACAGGATTTTGTGCATTTTCCTCACGTCAGCAGCCAGGAACTTCTTCTTGGCTCTAGTCGCCTCCTTCCTCTCGTCGCTGACGGGAGGAGGTGAGAGCAATGGACAGATGTAAATGTGAATGTTCTGTTATTGCTATCGACATAAAGATGAGAGAAACAGCATCATCGGCTGGAGCCACATTAGATGTAGTTTCATGCATTTAGCTGATGCACTCGTGCAGTTAGGGGGAAGATACAGTTTCAGAGTGACTACATCACTTTTATAATGCAATAATAAGTACAACTTTTGGGTTGCCAGGTTGTGAGGTTGGTCTTACAGATAGACATGAAGTATTGTTCAATAATAAGGAGATGTTGATGAACATACTCCAGAGAAACGATAGACGGCGCCGCGCTGAGGTCTCCCAGAGGTGTGTCCAGTAACCCGATGGCGCTCTGCAGCTCCAGCTTCTTGTACAGAGCCAAGATGCTGGACTCGGCCTTGTTGTCTCGGATCAGGATGCGCCTCAAAACACGATCGTTGAACTTCTTGAACCTGACGGAAAGACAAACAAATAGAGACTTATCGTCAACTGATCTAAATGAATGAGGAAGTTAGTCTAAATCTGCAGGAAATGTCACAATTCAATACATTGTGTCAATTAAAAAAACATTGATAGACAGGTCCTACTTGTCTTTCCAGTAATAGTGGCTCCATTGTCCACACAAGTCCTCAATACCACTGAGGACGTGCTCCATCATCTGCACAAAACGTCAACAATGAGTGCCATTCACACATGAACTATTTGACAAAACTAAAAAGAAGAAAGAAGAAGGAAGATACTTGCCCTGGTGTGAACCTCCATGTTGATGGTGTTCAGGTCTTTGTTGGTTTTCCTGATGTTCATATATTCTATTATCGGACGGATGCTGATGCCCTGAAAGACCGATTATTAAAAATTAACTCAACTGTCCAAGTTATCAAACTCCAACGCTGAATAAATGTCCCTTTAACATTATTAAATGCACACATACAGGGGCAATGTATTTAATAACATATATTGTGCTTCACTTTATCTCTTTTAAAAGATTTTAAATCTTCCATACTAAGCTGCTAGAATAATATGATAAAGCAGCCGAAGGTCTCACCTGTATGAAAACGGTAAATATAATAACGGCGACTGAAGCCGTGACAAACAGGTTCTTCCTGTTGATGTTATCGGGTAAGGTGAAGACCAGGGCGAAGCAGATTGCCCCTCGCAGGCCCCCGTAGGCGAGGCCGAACTGGTCCTTGAAGTTGAGCGGGATGGTACGGAACGGATTGATGATCTGGGTCAGGACCAGGATGCCTGCAAGACGTTTGGATTAAAGAACGGGACCACTTAAGGGACAGACAACTCTTTAAAATTAAAATCAAGACTCCCACCAATCCCTCTCCAGATGAAGGCAAACAGCAGCGTAAACAGGATGTAGGCCCAGTTCCACTCATGCTCGGTGGTTATGGTAACGACGCCCAGGAAGAAGAAGATGAGGGTTTCAGAGATGGTGGCCAGCATCTTGACAACATGGCGGATTGTGGTGCAGGATCTCTGGGAAACGTTCTCCTCCACATAGTACTTCATGGTGATGGCGCATGTTATAAGGCTGCGGGGAGGGAGGGAAATATATGACATATTAAATATCATTAATGTATTTCTCAGCATTAATGACTTCTATGATGACTTTATGTAACTGATATCTATTTATACACTGGCCTTCACTGGAGGAGTTATATTTGTTGACAAATTAATGGAAATAAGCCAAGTTGAGCGAGCATCTTTTAAACCTTCACGAAAGTGAGTCACATATTTGTCACATGACGCCACACATGTCATTTTGAATTTGCATCACAAACGGAGGGTTTGGAGAAGTGGAGGAGCCGGTTTGTTCAAGTTGCACAAACTTGGCTGCACCTTTCAATAAAAGTCATCTGGTCTGAATATTTCTACACCACTTCTTGTGTAGACAATGTGTTGGGCCGACACTTACGCCATCACGCTGGAGATGGCAAAGCACTCGGCCACCAGGTACGCCAGGTAGCTGTACATGAAGACGAAGAGGGGCTCGATCTGACGGACATTGTGGGTGAAACGTGTGGTGAACGCGGCCACGAATCCAAACAGGAGGCCAAAGAGGATGCCTCCGGCCGCCACCACGAAGAACCGGGCCGTCCCCAGAAACACGTCAGTGGATTCCACGACGGGCAACCCGGCCAGAAAGGTGAACATGTTGTAAAGGACCTGGAGGGATACACACAGATAAAGAAATGAGTAGAACATACCAGGTTTAGATCAGAGCTACTGCAGATAAACTGCAGTTCACACACAGTTGTTGTCAAGCAGTTTCAACCAGTCAGGAATCTGAACCAGTTAAACTAATGTTGAAACTATTTTCATGCTTTTATATGCCAACATAAGTTTTGTCAATGGACTGGAAACACTGACACTTTTAATCCACGCTTCTCTTTTGGAGACATGATGCAACTGAAGACAACCAGTGCCAGAAGATGTTAAAGGCAACTTGGCTCCCAAATCTGTGCACACAGCCCGGCAATATTGATACAAAGCAAAGCAATCTATTTTCATCCTGTACTCACCACAGTGACAGCGTCGTTGAAGAGTCCCTCTCCAAATATGATTATGTATGTCTGCTCATTGACTCCGATGTCGTCAAACACATTCAGAGCAGCCACGGGGTCCACGGTCGAGATGATGGAGGCAAACAGCAAGTTCTCCTGCAGTGAAGAAGAGTGAAAAACAAAAAGAGAAGAAGACTTAATCCATCACTTCACATTTACAGTGCATGCACCATCATTTTCTGAGACATTAAGGAAGCTTTTGATCACATGACATGGCCTTAATGAGCAGATGAGTTCAAATAAAAGCTAAACGACAATGCAGTATGTGTGATATATAAATATCACACATACTGCATTAAATACAGACAAAGTTGCATGTCACCTTTGACCTTTCCTGTGGATTTAACTGACCTGCAGGTTGATATCTTGAACTCCAAACACCTCGAACTGGCAGATGGCAAAGAGGGAAATCCCGATGCCAACGCTGTTCCACAGGGTCCCCACCACGGCGTACCACAGCACCGTGCCGGCGTTTTCGAAAAACGGCCTCGTGGGCATGAAGTACCCGTTGTCGAGTACGATGAGCGGGAGCATGTAGAGGAAGAAGACGTTGGAGTTGAGGACGGCGGGGGGCTCCTCTTTCACTGAGTGCATGATGGCGCCCACGATGAGGCCGATGGAAATCAGGAGGCAGGACTCTGGGATCCAGATGGTGATTTTATGGTAAATGTGGAAACCTGCAGAGAAGACAATGAGAAGATTGGACTCATGTTCTGGACTTTTAAGGCTGCTGTGATGCAAAGCAACATCTGCTGTTATTCAAGGTTGCAGAGTGGGGGAGGAAGTACTCAGACACCTCAGTGTAGAAATACTGTATTCAAAGTACAAATGTATTAGGATCCAAATATACTTAAAGTACCAAAAGTGAAAGTATATAATCATGAAGAATGGCCAATTTATGTATCGTCATTTAATTTAAAAGCTGGTAAAGGTCCCCGGGGATCAATAAAGTTTTATCTTCATCAATAATGTTACATCATAATTCATTTGTTGATTGTATTTTGTATTATTGATCAGAATCTACAGAGTAAGTTATCAGTCATCAATCAGTATTTGCCCTCAAAATGAATTGGAGTAGTAGCAGAACATGTAAATAAATATTGTATAAGTACCTCAAAATTGTGCTTAAGTAGTATTTGAATGGTTTCTTTCCACCAGAAAGTAATACAAACCAAAGTGGTTCATCCACACTTACCAATTTTGGCAAAAGAGGCCAGCAGTACCCACAGTGTGAACTCAAAGGGGAGCTGGATCCGAGGGTAGTCCATGGTGAACACGGGGAGGTTGGCCCTCTCCTCATCGGGGAAGGCCTGGGGCTCATCGAAGTCGTTGGGGAAAGGTTCGACACCCGGGAGGTCTGTCTGCGCTGAGGGTTTTGATTTCTGGAGCTCACATCTTCCTCCAAAGCAGCAGAGCACGAGGAGTAGAAGCATGTAGAATGCTCCTCTCTCAGTCCTGGCTTCAAACAAAACAGAGGTCCCCATTTCCACTGGTCAACACAGATCTTAAGTATTTCCAGTGAGTCTTATAGACGTCCCAGGACATTAAAAATAAGTCTATCGTGCAGCTTCAGTAGGCTGTTGCGTTGAAAAACTAGTTGTAAAACTACACATAGAAATCCTAACAACTCCTTTACTGCAGTCCATGCCCAGAGCAGTTAAATAGCAAAGTCTCAAATGAAAAAGGAGACATGTTGAAGTGTTATTTAGATGAAATGAAAGTCCTTCTTGAAGTAATCTTAACGTGATCCTGTTTGAGGTGAAACTCTATTCTGGTTTCAACTGTTGCAGAACCTGCTTGTCAGTTCACTGAATGTGCCCTTCCTTGTGGGTGTAACCCAACAGGCCTACATGTCCCCAGTGACACAACAAGAAAACAGCTGGGCAATATTGCTGATAATACAAAAACCCAACTCTTTTAATTTACAGTGAATCAGTGTTTAAATGAACCATAACGAACATGGACACAGCAGGTTTAAGCGCCAGTATTGAAACTTGTAATAGCACATTACTTCCACATGATGGCGATAGAAGTCCACTCTACTTTGCAACAGTTATGGACATCTTAAAAGGTATCATCATTATCAAATTCACTATCATCTTTACTGTTTGCAGTGAATAGTACTTGTTAATAGCAGTACACTAAATATAGTGGAGTAAAATGTACAATATTTGCCTCAGAAATGGAGTAAAAGTATTAAACTAGTATAAAATGACACTATACCTTTGAATAATATTTAACAGTACTTGAGTAAACAGTTTTTTGTATATATTTTTCTGTTTTGAAAAAATATCTACGTGCGTGGGAGCCTGCGTGATGACGTCACCGACGCGACGCGCCTGGGGGGCGTCACCGACGCGACTTCGACTGCATCCAGAAAGGAGAACACAGTGCGGAAATTTCACCACAACACGCACCCGGACCGGTACGTAGCGGCTTATTACGGTTCATTTTTAACTCAGAATACGTTGCATAATGTCGGCTTTGTTAGTGTTTATACTGTCAGTAAGTTTGGCAACGGAAGCTTTCGCTAGTTTGTGTTGCTACGCATGTTGGTAAACAAGAGATATTGTACTCGTATTGTTCGGCACGTAACTTATAAACATCGGAAATATTGAGAACAGCAGACTAACAGGGCAGGACGTGCAAGGACAACACTGAATACGGGTTGTAATTAGGGTTAAGTGCCACTTAATATGCAGAATATGCTCTGGCATGACATATTTTACCGTTATTGTGTAATTATAAGTGCTTCCTTTAGGGTCAGGCTATTATTACGCAAATTTACGTTATAGGAAAGGTCTGCATTGGCCCCCAAATATGTGCGTTTATTGCCATGTCATGATTGGACGTCCTTATTTTAGGATATGGCAGCTGATGTGTAAGCTCGTAGCCTATAGCCTACAAATCATCACACACACACACACACTGGATGCTGACTGTGGATGTGCACACACACACACACACACACATGTGCTGAGTCTGTTTGCATGTTGTCCACACATTTCACTGCAGTCTCTGCAGAGTGGTTTTGAGTTTCGCTGTGCAAGAGTTGAGGTCATCTGGACATCGATTTCCGCGAGCTGATGATGCTCTTTTAAGAGGAGAGTGACCTGCTCGAGTTTGATTCAGGAAGTGACTTCAGGGGAGAGTTTCGTGAGGCTTTTCCTCAAAGAATGTCATAGTTTGAGAGTTAAATGTAATCTTTTGCAGCCCCATTTCCCTGCCTTTGTTCAGAGAGTAGAGCTGCCTCAGGTGTCATCACATGACTTGATTTATCGTCATATGTTTGGGGATTATACCATACTTATGGTGCCTATATGCTCTCTCTTTGAAATCACATAGTTAGTCTCCGTCATATCTTCCATTGTGTGTGTGTGTGTTGACTCATCAAACCCACTCAGCTCAAGAAACGCCTGTTGATTCACCCTCATCTGCGTCTTCCTCTGCATCGGCCTTTTCTTGCGCTCATCATACATACATGTACAGACATTTTTCAGCGAGCATTTGTCAGCTGTTGTTCTCCTTTCCCGTCTGGTTTTAAAAGACGGAGGAAGAGAAAGCACATAACTGACACCCGAGGAGGTTCAGGTGGATAGACACCGATGAGCTCCATAACTCATCAGTCTCATCCTCATGTTGTCAAAATGTAGATATGAAGTCAGAAACGCATGAAAATAAAGTTATTAATCACAGTATACACAAGGAAGACAACAGGTTGTTCCATAACCACAAATACAACAACAAAAATTCAAGTATTTTTGTCATTTGTTCCAAAAGAAATGTCCTAAATTGCGAGAAATACATAAATGTGCAAGACTCAAATTAGGAAGATTGCAGTCAGAAATTTCTTCAGTTTTTTTCATGCAATTTGCCAACTTTATGCTTAATTATTTAAACATAAGTTGGATGCAATGCGGATGTCTCCAGAAGCGTACAGTGGAGATGGTTTACCTAACAGTCCACAGATAGACACACTGCTCTGCTGACGCTCACGTGCAATTGGCTTTGGGGGGGAAACGGAGAGGCATCAAAAGGGGGTGTGTGTGTGTGTGTGTGTGTGTGTGTGTGTGTGTGTGTTGCAGAGATAGGACCACCACATGGATGGCACGACTTGTCCTTAACATTAAGTATCTGTTAAATACCAAAAAGGTATTAGAGTAGCCTATAAGATCTGGAATGTCTTCTTGTATTTTACGCGTTTAACATTTTAGAACTTGGTACCAAACCTCAGGTGTTGTTTTTCCAACCAGCAAATGCACTCAGCTGCCAGTTTATTAGGCACAGCTGGCTCAAACTAAATGCAACAGTCCTGCAATCAATCCTCCCTCCATGAAGGTTATAATGTTCAGTGTTTGGTGAATCCCTGGTAGAAGAGACGATCGCTGCAGATCAGGCAGAGAAAGAGTTAATTGCCTTGAATGTTTGCGAGAGAGAGAGAGAGAGAGAGAGTAAAGAGTGAGGAAGACAGACAGAGAGAGAGATGGAAAGCCGGAGGAAGAGGAGAGAGACACGGCTGGCTGCAGTCTCTGCCTCGTGATGGCGTCTTCAGCGTCGGTTTGTTTACATCCATCGGCAGCAGACGTCCTCGGGTATGTGTGTGTAAACTCAGGCTTCCATCTGTTTAGCCGGCACTGTTGACCACCACTGTGACTCTGGTGTCATGACTTGAGAATGACTTGTGATCTGTGTGTACCGGGCATTTGGGAGAAAATGCACAATCATGCTGGATGCTAATGGCTTGTCTTTTAACAAATTGCAGAATTTCTTGCTGAGGTCAATTGCAAAGCGATGCGGTGCTAGTTTTACCAACAAGTCGCTGCTGCTGTGGTGCGATTTCAGTAACTTGTAGCCTGTTTTACTACCGAGTGTCAGCGCAGTGCACAGGAAGGTGTGCTGTGGGTTCTACTTTCTGATGAAAAGGCTGCCTGGTAAATATACGAGCATGTGCCCGTTTGTGTGACACATTGAGCTTTGTTTCTTTTTTTTTCCTGTGATGTTAAACAGATGCTCTTATGATGGCCTCTCATGCAAACCAGAGACATGAAGCAGACCTGTTAGACAGCACGTTAGCATGCTTTCATTCTTAAAAGAGAAACCTGTCTTTTCTAAAGAAACGATGTGACTTAATTGAGGTGACTCATTGGTCGGAGTCACCGCTTTTGTCTCCTCATTAGCTGATGCCCACATCCTCCGACCAGACGAGGTCATGGTGACTCACAACAAACTAAATCTGGCATATCGTTTAGCCATAAAATCTTATTTTTAACAAAGACACAATACCAATTCTAGCTGGGTTTAATAGTTTCACTTTTCACTTGTTTGACTCAAGTAACAACACCTTGAAATACAGCAAATATCATCACTTTGTTCCAGAGCAGACTGAAATGTTTCAACAGTAATTGGATTGTTGTATGATATTGATTACAGGCATTCGTGTCCCTTTAGGATCGATTTTAAAATCCTCTGACTTTTCATCTTGAGGTCAAAAGTTGGTGTAAATTCCAAATACCTGCGAATTGATTGACATTCGCTGGGCAACATTCGATACCATTGATTACTTCCCTCGTGTTGTGGGAAGTGGTGCTTGCAGTTTTCTCTCAGAGCGAGTCAAAGAGAGACTGGACCCTGACTGTCAGCTCACGTCTGCTTTAAACAGATTCAGACAGTTTTATCTTCTGATCCAGCGCTCCGTTCTGTTTCCAGGTATGGTCAGTGGCAGGAATCCCCCAAAGTAGACAGACGGTACGGATATATTTCTGAATGTGTCGATGCAGCAGCCACATATAATAATGCAGCCACAGCCAGGTGTTTGTGCAACAGGCTAAAAACAGACTGAAGGCTGCTGCTGTCGGCCAGACCGACTCCTTCAAGACACTTCCTGAAACAACAGAAGGAAGTGAGAAGAGCAAGAAACAGTTTCACACACACACACACACACACACACACTGAGTTTTACTCTCCTTTTGTACCAGACTCCTCATTGAAGTAAGAACATTTAATACTATGACAGTACGACTTTATTGCAGGGTGTTATAAGAACGTTTTCATTCACTTAAGCTGGTCAGAAAGAGACACTGATAACTTAATCAAACTCATTTGTTAGAGTGAATAATGTGGAATATATTTCTCATTCAAAATGCTAACAATGTAAACTGGGGAGATTTAAGAGCTATATACATTTATCTTACTTGGTGTAAATGTACCTGAGAAAGATGTAGTTATAATATAGTGATTTACAATAACTGAATTAATTTACAATATTGATGTTTTATTGATTTATTGCAGCTCTACAGTGTGTTTAAAGTCCAAGAAGTTAGATAGTTGGTGATGTGGCTGAAAGTGAGGGGGTGAAACTATAGCTATAGAAAATATAGCTCTGTGTTAGTGTGTGTGTGTCGGAGGCTGTGGGTGATGCTCATTTTCATGTGAAAGGGCTACAGCTGCTGCGTCCCTCTAAAGAAATTATTCATGCTTTATTCTAATGCCGGTCCCCACACACACACACACACACACACACACACACACACACACACACACAC